GCTCTAAAATCTGAATGCCTGTGCTCAAAAGCTTCTGTTCCTGCACCTCCTCCTCTCTGATGATTCACAGATGCCACGTCTCGATACCAGAAGACACCAGAAGAGAGTGATATGATCATTCCGACTGGAATGCCTGGCGTTTGCTCCCTTGAGCCCACAGCAGCCGTTTCCCAAAGGCCTTTGACGTAGCAGAGGCAAAGAGGTGGCACGCTCCAGGGAGGCACACAGTGACCATCACCCTCCCTCTGGGCTCAGAAGTACCTGACAACCACTGGGTCACCGCCAACTGCCGCCTTCCAAACTCCTTGTGCTTCTCTGCAGTGTTTTCTCTCTTGTTTCACTGGCGTGTCTTCGTTTCCAGGAAGTTTCTCCTTGTCCGTGCCCTTTCCTTCTGCCCCAGCCCCACAGCGCTTGTTGCCTCTCAACAGGGTCCCGATGCCTGGAAAACTCGATGTTGAAACAACGACCTCTTGTCCTGGGCATGTGCCTCCACTGTCCGCCTTTCTCCATCATCTGCCAAATCAAGTTTGTCTCCAGATTGGCATTAATCTCCTCTTTTCCTGCCCAAGCAGCTCCTTCAGCCTTGCCTTTTTCTCAAGACTACACCATTTTCTTCCATTGAAGCATCCAACTGTGGGGCTACCATGGTCATCCTCATCCCTCCTGCAGGCATCTTGAGTGTGAGTCAAGTTTCCTCCTTTCCTTACTCTCACTCCTCTCTACCTTGCTTCTCCACTTGGATTGTTATTGCTTTCCCTTCCTTTGTCCTCCTCCATTCTGTTCTCCTTGACTTGGTAAAGCTCCAGTTGGTAACCAGCCCAGTTTTCCATCTCTCTGCCTCCATCTTCACCTCTCAGCCCTGTTGAATGATTCTTTTTTTCCCCCTTCCTTTTCCTAATGCTCTTTTCTTTAGTTTGGCTGGATGGGACTCATCAGATCCAATCAGTGATCTAATTCTGCAGTCTGGTGATTTGAGGGCTGAAGAATAAGCTGGTTTGGAGCCAGTCTCTCCTTCCAGGTTGACTTTCTAAGTCACTTGGAGCCGCCAGCTCCAACTGCAGTGATCAGGGTTGCTACTGGAACCTGGGAAAACTGAACCCCTTAAATCAGTGGAGATCTCACCAGCATGGGTAATGAAGTCTAGAGAGCTGCTCAACAACATTTAGGTGACACCATCTACCAACTGATGTCCACCTTGCTCGCTGGACTCCTAAAATGCCTTTATTTTCTAAACATTCCCTCTCGAAAATAAGCGATAAAACTTCTTGAACTACTGATGTATTTATGGCTCTAGAATTGATCTAAGAGGTGCAGGGTTAGACCTTTAGCCAACGGCTCAGTCATTGTCAACTTCAGACATTCAAAAGCCATCTCAAAAGCTTCAAATATCTTAACAGTCATAAAAGAACGAAACAGGACAAAGAATCAGGGAAAAAAAAGTCACTTGTTTTTAAAATTCATGTCTTGGAGGACATGAGGTCAGAACTTTTTGAGGCAAGAAGGAAAAGAAAACATAAATCTTGGTTTCTTACTACACAGTCACTCTGTGACAGCATCCGATGGTGTGGCTTCAAGTAGGGTGGTGTGTCCTTGTGCTGAGATAACATTATTGATGTTGAAAACGAAACTGGTAGCAAATAAATAACAGCAATTCTCGGCACTCGAAGAAGAGGGAAGGAGGAAGGGCAGAGCACTGCCAAAGGCGTGGTAGAGCCCCGAGTAAGGTTGCTCTGCCGTTGACAGCATTGAGCCCCGATTTTGTGTTGCGGGACACGAGCAGCCGCGGTGTAACGTGCTCCCTGTGCCTGGCGTGTTGGGATGCTGAGTCAACCGGATCAAGGAATCGCTCTGGAGAAAGAAACCTCAAAACCCAGGCAATCTGAAAAATCCTCATTTGTCCTCCTCTGATCTGTGTCACAGGGAAAGAATAACTCCAGCCAATACTGTGCTGGAACCAGTATGGCCCAGAGCTCCCTGCTGCCCAAGCTGGGACATCACCAGCGTCCTTAGACTCCTTTGGTAGACTGCGGAGATGAAGGAGCACCGTTGGGGTTGTTCCACATGGGCATCCACAAACGTTGGTTTTGGGAGGACAATAAAAACCCTTCACAGGGCTCATTGGGCTGCGCCGGGCTGCAACGGGAGCCCATGGGATGAGAGGGAGTGGCCTCGAGTTGTGCCTGGAGAAGTTTAGATTGAACATTAGGAAGAATTTCTCTCCCAGAAGAGTTGTCAGGCACTGGAAGAGGCTGGAGGTATCTAAAAGCCGGGTAGAGGAGGTGCTCAGGGACGTGGATTAGCGGTGAACCTGGCAGTGCTGGGTTAACGACTCGATGATCTTAAAGGTCTTTTCCAACCTAAAGGCTTGTGTGATTCCACCACGTTGGGTGTGATGAATCCCACCTGCCTGTCTGTTACGTGTTTGTGCAGTGCCAGCGTGGTAGATCCCGGATCGGTGACTCAGGCTGTAGGCAGGGTGACGAGGATAATAATAATACTCCCGCGGTTGTTTGCTTAGGGATGATTTTGCCTCAGTAGTCAACATTCTTTCTCCAGCCCTTGCGAATTAAACTCATTAAGCTTATTTTGCTGATGGCCCTTTCGCTTAACGGTGGTCTGAGGTTGAGGTGTACCTGCTCGTTGTTGGATGCTCTCCTTGACCTGTTTACTCTCATCCCGCTTCGT